CTCTCTCTCTCTCTCTCTCTCTCTCTCTGTGTCTGCTGATGCAGCCCTGCCCAGTGCCCACGACTCCATCATGGGCTGCCAAGGCCACCACCTCTCCACCTTGCACCACCCGCCGGCCTCGCACTGTGGCGCAACGGTATGAGAAAGCTGCCAAGAGAAGTCGGAGGTCTTAGAGGTGGACCCCACTGCCCGGCGCCCTGGAAAAAAAATGGCAGACCAGTGTTTTCGGACTCCACTCGTCTGGAAACCTGCATGGAAACCCACAATGGAAAGCTTTTTCAGACCCCATCAACCGTGACAGGATGTAACTGGAAACGTGTCAGAAGCGTTTCTACATAGTTGGCGGCCTGGAAACCGACGACGTCATCCTTCCACGACCTTTCCAGTATGACATCCCAACCGACAAAGGCGGGGGGCATGTTCTCCCTTGGAATAGAAAGGCCGTGCGCGTGTGGTCCAGCTGACATCACGGTGGACCGTTTTATGGTCGGGCAAGCCCTCACGGACATCCGCTGCTGTCCTGTCGCATGGTTCCGATGTGGCCCCTTGCATGGCTGCCCTGCGCGGCCCATCATTTCGGATGCCCAGGGGACTGCTGAACGATGAACCCCGCCACCAATTCGCTGCGACACATCCCACACTGTCATGCACAGCTACACACGGACATGTCGTGGTCCAAGAACAGAGGAAGGCCATGCACCGCAACCCCTTCCCAACTTTCCTTTTCGGGGGGGGGACCCCTCCGACCTTTCCTTTTCGGGTATGTTTTGCCATTTCCAGTGCCTGTTTTCCCGGTCGCGGTGGGGTCCCATGGAAACCCGCCAAAGTTTTTCCAAACTCCGTAGGCCGTGTTTTATGGCCAACCTCCTTTTCCAGGCGCCAAGCAGTGGGGTCCACCCCATAGGGTCTGATCCCACCTCTTCTCTTATTCGAAAGAATGTAAAAGTGCCGCGGAAATTGGAGGCGCGGCGCAGGGAACGTAAAATAAAAATGCGACCCCACATGCCCTACTTTTGCGGGGCTTTTCCTAACCGAGCGGCGCTATCTTGTGGCGCCTCCATGATCCAATGGTCTGCACATTAGGGAAAAAAAAAAAAGAGAAAGGCAAAAACAAGGGCACCTTCTTTCACGGTGCAGGGTACGGGGGTGGCGTCTTTTGATTTTTGAAAGAACTACCGGTCATCCAATCGCGCTCCTTGCACCACGACTTCGTTTCCACATGCCGGACAAAAGAGGGCCACCCCCGAATCAACGGGAAAGTACTGGACCCCGTTTTTTCCAAAAAACTACACAGCTTATAAGAAGTGGGATCTGACTCTTAGTGGGTTGATCTAGCCGCCTTCTGTGGCTAGATCCACTCGCTCCCTTTTTTAAAGGAGAAAATAGTCGACTAAGTCGAGGGGCTGGACCCAGTGGACCGGTAGTGTGTGATAGAGCTTGCGTTTTTTGTTTTTTTTTGGGCGACACAAACCCATTTCTTGGGTGCCCACAGCAACTGTACACAGGCTCATGTTTTCTATTCTAGCAATCTCAGGTCTGCACGCTGGACAGGTTGACCCAAGTCCTTTTTATTGTATTTTTTGGGGGGAGGGGGGGCATTTTTTCAGGTGGTCCTGGGCCTGTGGGTCGGGTGACCCAGAGAAAATATGGACCCGCCCTGTCACCCGCCTGTCGGGTGACCCAGAGCAAAACTTGACCCGCCCATGACCCAGACCCGTCCACACTACGAGGACAAGCCCGTCCGTCGCCCACCCAAGAAGGCATAGGTAGACCCAAGCCCGACCTCCATCGCCTTCATAGAGGCTTGAGCAGAGTGGTTGGTTGGAGACACTCGAAGAGGCGGGCCAGAGTTGTAACTGGAAATATGACATCGGGAGACTTCCTGATTGGAGTCATCCATCAAAAGTAATGATTGTGAAGAGAAGTTTCGTGATTGCAGTCATGCTTTTCAGCCTGGTAGAGCTTGCGCCCAGTGAGAAAGAAGACTCTCTTTCCGCATAATAATCCCTGCATGTTCTGGTTTGCAACTTTGCATACCTTTCAGGTCAATCGTGCTAGGCCCTAACATGACGCATGATATTCAGGGCTGTCTTAACAAGAACATGTTTGATTTTAGACCGGATACGTGCTTGCCTGAATCAAGTTAGCACTATGGTTTTCTCTCTGGCCCTTCCCCCCCCCTCCCCCCTCTCTCTCTCTCTCTCTCTCTCTCTCTCTCTCTCTCTCTCTCTCTCTCTCTCTCTCTCTCTCTCTCTCTCTCTCTCTCTCT